ACTACCCCTGCCGCTCCTCTCTCTTCAGTACAGGCGGCGGCAGGGCACACACACACACATACAGTCGGTAATTTTCTCCGCGATATAGAGGACTCCACCTCCTGTGTGATATTAATATCAAAACCGGGCCTCCCCTCTCTGATAGCACTGATCACCACCACTACCACCACCGCCGACGCCGCCGCCACCCTCCGCCGATATTTCTGCTGAATCTGCTACATTGCATCCCTTAACTCACCCCCCAGCGTGCATGCCTTCGCTTGATGCTGACGATGCAAGCGCCGCTCTGACGGTCAATCTGTCAAGTTGTCACAAATTGCGCGCCCACTCGGCCACCCCGCCGGCCGACTAATTTGACAAAGCGACATAGCAGCGTCGCGACGGTGATTAATTCGCCGACCGGCAATATTTCGCCCCGCCACCGAAATGAGAATGAGAGGGTGCAAGGAAAAAAAATTACCAATTCTAGAGACGTGAAGCATTTTGGTTCTGACTTAATTGCTTGTTAAAAGCCGGGGCAGGTTTTAAACATGAAAATAAAAATCCTTTGCTTTCCGAATGAAATGTATATAGAAAAAACCATATTAATGAATCATCTCAAAAATTGTTCGGATAATAAAATAGAAATAATAAGCAATGGTTATCATCATATTTCTGTAATTTTCCTTTTTTTTATTTATAAAAAACTGAATATTTGTTAACGACAGCAAACTCTATTATTAATTAAATTATTGAAAATAAAAAAAAATGTATAATTTTTACTTAAAAAATTTTCCTCGCCTCACAACACTTGGGCTAGCTGATGAGATAGGAATTAATCAAAACAGCTGTTCTAGCCAGTGGAGTTTGGTAAATTGATTTTTTTTTTAATAGGTTCATTTATTTTGTATTAAATTTAGATTATGAATTATAATTTTGTAATCACTTCTGCACATTTCAAGTCTGATACTAACTCTAATGCGCTGATCTTTATAATAACTCACAATTTTCCAACAATTATTATATTTAAAAGATTTAACATGAAACTAATATATTATCTTATTTTACTCAAAATTGGTTTTAACATTCATTATTTTTTTTATATAAAAGATAATAGCCAAAATACAATAAGCTCGAAAAGTCATTAATTCTAAGCTATGTTCATTTCGGCAAGGTGCCTTTCGTTGGCAGCGCAAAACGTTATTCCGACTCGTAATCAAACTGGAAGCCCCGCCGACCATAAAGCGGCACATTTATTACTTTGTGCTTCGTGCATTTGTATTGATTAGTGGGGTATAATTGTTATGAAGAAATCCAGGCCGGCAGCGCTGGCGGGCGGGCGGGTGGGCGAGCCAGAGAGCAATACTTGTATGGCAAAGGGTGCGCGATAGATGCATGTCTGGCAGAATTGCTGCAATAACAGTAACGCTGAATTAGTGATGAGTCGCTGACTATATAGCGCGCGCGTTCACTTGAGCTCGGCTCGAACATTTGCGCCGGTTAAACTTTAAATTCGTTGCTAAAACATGAGCATATCAATGAAAGATAAGTGCGCGCGCCGTGAATCGAAGATTGCGAGAGCGAGAGAAGATCGTGCTGCGAAAATATTAACGCCGTTCTAATGGGATTTGGAAATGTAAAAAAGGGTGCGAATCAAATATTTACGGGGCGAAAAAGAGCGGAGGTATCATATTATATGGATAGAGAATAGCTGCGGCGGCGGCGCTGCTGAATAAAGAATAATACGTTACTTGGTCGTAAAAGGTAAGTATTATTGGAATGTTGGTATTCCTCAGAGAGAAAGACAGCCCAGAGCTAACGCCGCACTCGCACAAATGTGCAAAATGGAAAAAAAAAATAAAAAGAGAGAGAGAAAGAGGGCGGCGGGCGTTGCCGGGATGAAAAGTTGGTCTCGGGCGGCCATCGGGGAAATGGCCAAGGGTCAGTTAGGATTAGTATTTGCCTCGAGTACAGGCTGCTGGGGGAGGAGGAAAAGTTGAAAGCTGCCGTTACTGCTTTTCCTCCCTTTCTTATATACGGACGTGTCCGTTTTTTTGCCGCCACACAAAATTCGTCTCCAAGTTTGACCATCATGTATACGTGCGGACGAGAATAGTTGCAGATTCCCGGTATTCGACGTGTGTGCCGAGGGCGTCCCACCTGCTTTGCTCCCTTTCTTTTTTTTTCCGAAGGGCCACCACGCACAATACCGGAGCAATACATAAAATAGGAAAAAGCTTTACAATCCTCGAAGATCCGATTTTAAGAGCTTTCTTGTGTGTTTGTTTGCACGGTGGACGCACACATAAGATTCGCACTGGCCCACAGCACAAGGAGAGAGGAACGAGAGAGAGAGCGACAGTGTATTGTATAGATTATTACTTTTTTCCGCGCACTGCCGTCTGTCGGTGCCGTTCTCGTTTTTTATTTAAGAGCGGAGAGAGAGAGAGAAAGTACATATCGGACACAATCTACTGATCAAATACACTGTCCTCGTGTTTGAGAATACGCACATACGAAATGCCCATGGCCTTTCAAGCTGTAAATGAATGCGTCTTCGAAGGCAAATATGGAGAGGGTGAGCTCCGGTCTCCTTTGATCGGAAATGGAATTTTTACTTCTCAGTGACTGGCGATTTTTTTTTTATCTTGAACAAGATTTATTCTAGCTTCAAAATAATTAAATTTAAATTGATATTTTCTCTCTATACAACGTATAAAAAATCTACAATCCAAGCCTAGAGGCAAATTTTTAAATATTTCTTGCAAAGATTTTCTGAAAATTCTTCATTCTTACTGATTATTGCTATTTCACATAAAATACTAATTTATATTTAGATTATAAAGACATTTTTAATCAGGAAACTCTCAATCAATCAATTACTTGAAATCTTAATACAATATTAGCTGTTATTTAATTCTAGTGTAGTTTTCATTGCTTTAAGAAAAAAAACGCAATTTTATTATTTTGAATAATTGCCAGGTGTTACAAATGGATAAGAAAGTAATATTTCAATTGATCTGCTCAGGAAGTATTTTTATGTAAATGATCATGGTTTTGTTTTCTTGTGTTAAAATATAAACATAAACCAACTGAAAACCAGAGTAATTTTAGTTTGAAAAACAAGATTTTAAAGTAAAGTAAACAAATTATTTTTCCGGATTTTCAAGTACAGTAAATAAATTATTTTTCCGCTAAATCTGCTAATCCACCAGCACGAGTAAAAGGATATGGAAAGCCAAAACGCGCAGTGCGAACTCTTTTGAAGTCGCACGGTGACTCGGAAAAGTTTTGGCATTCCGGCTCGGCGCTCGATCTTGCTGCCTGCATCATTGCCGTTATGGAAATGCTGTATGAGGGCGCAGAATCGCGCGAGATGATGATAATCGCCACTCAGCACCCGGCGCCAGGCAATAAATAATTTCGCATTTCATCCCCCGCAGAGGGCGGCTTCCAATCATAAGTTCATATTTCCATAACTGGGGCCGGATTGGCCGCCGACCGAGCGCCAATGCTGAGCTATGATATTATATCATAACGGGCTGCGATTGGCGAACGGCCTTAGGTGGATCAATACCGCGCACGCCGCCACTTCCTTGGCTCGCCCTCTACCCCTCCAACCCCTTGTCTTTGGTCTTTTCCACCCTCAAAAAATGCCCTTCTCCTCTCGCTGCTTTTCCGCCACCGCTATACACATTTTTCTCCCCTCTATTGCGCTCTGATACATTTCTTCAATTTCTGCCCCTTCCGGCCCCTGATGATCTGCCCAGCCCGGCCACCCCCGCACCAACGGCAGCAGCACCTGCCCCCGCCGCGAAAACCCACCCTCGTGGAAAAATTCCTACACGACTCGCTTTTTAAATTTCCAAGTTACAAAAATAAGGAAAATTATTTTCTTACCTTTTCCGTAAAATACTTTTGGCAAAAATTTAACTGTAAATTTCAAGGAGGAAAGCTCGGTCTGTGTTTCGCAGAGGATTATTCTCGTCTGCCTTTCCGCTTCTTTCGCCGTCTGGCTCGCTCTGGTCGTTTGCGAGTGTGTTTGCGAGCCCCTATTCTATGCCATGCCCGATGCATGTGTGCGACGAGTAGCAACAGCTCGCTCGTCTACTTCCTCTGCCGCTGCTGAAAGGGACAAAAAGAGCCTCTCCAACTAGAGACACATTAACATACTGTACCGCTAAAAGAGCAAATCAATAATGAGGCCGAAGGAAAAAGTAGTGTGTCTGCTCCTCAGCAATGCCAGATACGATCGCTCTGCTCGCCCACATCTGTGCGGGGCCATTCTTTCCGTGTGCCGATGCAAAGGGGAAGTTTACAGGTGGCTTTTGAGGGTGTTATCGTACGCTTCTTTAACTCAAGAATGCCTCTCGTGCACCATTGCATTACAAAGTGCTGCGAAAAATGGCCCAACGAAACGAAACTTTGAAAAATAATGCAATCAATAAAAATAAATTCATCTTATTCAACAGGAATATCATTCCTTCTTGACATTGTGCATTTGAAGAAAATTACAAATTTAATATATGTGTATAAATTATTAAGTTTTAATTAAATTGTTAATTTAGGTATTTTAATTTCTACTTTGGCTAGAAATAAATAGCAAATATTGTGGACTAGGAGCAGTTCCATGACAAAGACAGAAATTTAAATTTATTTGCGCTATAAAATTCCTTCGCGCCTGCAGAATGCAGTTTTATGCAACCTGTAAGGCTCTTATGACATGTAACTTGCCTATCTTCATTTAAACGCAACTTGCTTTAGTATTTAACGAAACGGAATTATTATTATAAGCTGCACTCTCGTTGATTTTCAAAGAACAACAAAAATGCGATTAAAAATAAGAACGTTGAATTATTTTTTTTATTTAAGGATTATTGCATGTTACTTACTTTTTTTCTGATAAAAAATATGTGTATCTGCTCTAGAACTAATGTTACAATTAGATAATTTCCTATAAATTTTTAATTGGTGTGAAAAATCAATTTAATATTAAAACTACGACTTATTTTTTTTTTTCAGATAAAATATTATTTTATTTTATTTAGTAAAAAAAATGTCCCTTATTCACCCTTCATTGCGAGGTTTCACGTTGAGCCAAATACCCCCTTCAGCTGCCAGAATAAACTGCTTGGGATCAAATGTGGGCGGATATTTTGTTTCCTTTGCTAATGTCACGTCATATTTGCTAAAAATGGTGGCTATCCCCATTTTTGACTGAATCAATGCAAAACGATTGCCTTGAAAATTAAAATAACAACTGTAATTTATGAACAGGAAAATAAACTTTTTTACCGATGCATTGGCGGGGACCTTCTCCAAACGGCATATGCAGATATTGATACTTGTGTAGGGCGTCCTCACTCGTGAATCGTTCTGGGTCAAACCTCTCGGGGTTCGGGAAGTATTTGGGGTCGTTCTGCAGAGAGTACGCAGGTATTATCAGCGGAGTTCCCTCATCAATTTGCACTTTCGTTCCAGGAATGACATAGTTTTTGGAGCAGATGCGAATCAAGTTTCCTGCTGGTGGGTACTTGCGAAGAGTTTCTAAAAATTAAATCAGCACGACTTAAAATATAACTTTTTTTTAATTTTCACCTTGAACGATGGCATCCAAATATTTCATTTCTTTTAAAGCATCATAACAGAGCTTTCCTCCGTGGTTGCTTAAAGCCTGGTCAATGTCAGCCTGAAGTTTACTTTGGACCTCTTGGTCAGCGGCGAGCTCTAAACTTGCAAAGGAAATCAGCGTCGAAGAAGTATCAAAACCAGCCAAGAAAAAGACAGTGGCTTGAGCAGTCAAATCATCGTGCGTCAGTTCTGCGAAAATTGTGTAAACAACTTTATATCTGATAGCATATCTGAACAGCAATAAAAATACTGTTTGTGCTATTGTGGGTCGTTCCAAATCCATTTAATTCTTTAATTTCTTTCTCCTCCTCCTTATTTTCAATCGAGATCGAACCCTTTTCTTTCAGTTCAATCAGCAACTGCATGAAATCTTTGCGGATTTGGCCAGTTTTCTTTCTAATATCCATCACGTCTTGGACCATTTTTCGGAAGAAATTTGTCAACTCTGCATCAATAAATGCAAATCTCAGTGTTACACCAACCTAATATATGTAGAGATCAAAGATTAATATAAATCTTTTTTCGTATATTTTTTTTACTTCCGGCAAGAAGAAAATAATAAACGACTTAATTGCTTTCCAAAAATCAAGTTCGGTCAATTTTTTGCCCTTAACTCGGAATTCAGTGTTTGGGTTTTCAATCGAATTGCATTTGACTCCAAATGCACAACTTGCAATTACGTCAGTTGTAAACCTTGAGGCCAAGTCCTGCGAGAATTCTCAATTTAGAGCTCATAAATTCTGCACCTTGAAATTTGTGTACCTTTGCTTCGAATGATTGTCCATTTTCTGCAACTCCGTCCAAGTGCGCCTGAAGAATATGGCCCACCTCCTCCATCAGAGGCGTCATCATTTTTATCTTCCCCGATGTGAAGGTTGGAGATAGTTTGCTTCTCATTTCCTTCCATTTTTTACCTTCGAGGTTGAATAAATTTTTGGCTTCCATTGGATCGGCTTCTTCATGCACCTATTAGTTATTTTAAATTAATTTTTGAAATAAAAATTTTTATATATATTTTCTTTCCTTGATTCCACGATCATAGAAATACGAGAAATCTTTCACGGTGATATTTTTTATTAATTCAGGATCCCTAATAATAAGAGATGCCCTGCGTCCCTGAAAACAGCCGACAAACTTTTCCTCCTGGAACTGCTTGTAAATGGTGTTCAGATTGATCACGATGTGTTCCTTCAGGGTCATGGAACTGTACAGAGATCCAAAAAAGGGCACTCCCTTCACATACTTGACGCCCTTGTTCTTCCAATGGTCAAACTGGTTGGTCAGAAAGTAAAATGCCAGTCCCAGCAAAGAGGCCAGAAGGCCCAAAGGGACACTAAGCCACAGGGGAAGGAGCCACAACATAATAATTGCCGACCGGTTTGATTGCGAAAATATGCTTTACTGACAAAAAAAAGGAGCATCACGATTTTATATATGTCATCTCATATTTCACGTGATCTTTATCGATCAAAGATAAGAAATCTGAATTAATCTTATTAAAAGCAGGGAGTCGAGTCAGCGTTTGAGTTGTTTTCTGCACACAGTCATTTCATTATCAGTAAATAATAAAGCTTTTAGGAACACCGCAAACTCAACAATTTATAAATATTTATTCTCCTTATCATTGAATTCTTAACAAAGGCTAAAAATATCAGATATATCAAAAAATTTTGTCTTCAATAGCCATTAAATTGGCAACTGTTTATATGCAATTTACTTTCTCAGACTTAACTGCGACTGACAAAAATAATAATTAAATAAATATTTCAAACAAACTTTCCTTTTCATGAGCATTATTATATTATTATTATTTATTTTAAGAATTCCAGAAGAAAAATACAATTTTTGCTTCTCAAGTCGGCGTGGTTAGCCCTGCAATTAGGCCTTTATACAGCCGGCTGCAGTTTCTCCCCCAAAGCGACTGGCGTCGAGAAAGGGCTTTAATCCTCCGCTAAATTTCAGCCCCATGATTAATTGCGCCTTTCGCCTGGCATGCATACAACTGAAGGATGATAATTTATAGCTTTTATAGCGTGTCGGCGCGAGCGAAGCGAAAATAGCAATTTTCTATTATTTTCAAGTCAAGGAAATTCCTGCAGAGCGTAAACAAGGAAGAATAATGGCATGTTGCGAACAACTGGCTGCAATATAATGTGCTGACCAACCAACCCTCTCTCGAGCGGACCGCCGGATCCATGTCTTACACACTTCGCTCTTATAATGCGCTTCATGCTTTCTTGTTCTCGGCGGGCAGTGCGAGGCCGGCGGCGCGCAATAAATTTCGCGCGCTACCTCCTTTCCTCTCATACACGACTTTCATACCAAGGGTCGTGTACATATATTTTTGTTCTTCACTCTGCTCTCGCCTCTCGCAAACTTGCCCGCTCTCTCGGTATTAAATGTGCATGAGCAGATTATCCATTTGGGGTGAGAGAGGGTGTAATGGTGGACATTGGTCACTGCGCGCAACCCCCGCCAGCTCTCCCATGCGGAGGCGCAAGTTGGATAAGTTCTATAACTCTGTCCAAAATAATGAATCCCCTGCCTTGCGACGCGCATACGGATATGTAACTACATAACTTTCGCAGTTGGTGAGAGTTTTGTGAGCGCTGACCATTTGCCGGACGTACTTACTGAGGGGCGGCTTGGGGTGGATTTTGACCAGAAGACAAAAAAAACTTAAAAAAGAAATATGACTTGGTAAAAATGAGAAAAAGAAATATTATTACTGTAATTTCAGTCAAAGAAATAAAATCAATAAGATCAAGATTTGAATAAAATTTTAAATTCTTTCTATTTTCGTAAATTTCAAGCTTATTTTAAAACAACAATATTAAAGGACATTTAATTAATAGATTAGTAAAAGATTTCAGGCTTTTTAATTTACAGCTTATCTTAAATCTTAAGTTTTTTTGGGTCCTAAAATGCTAAAATAAAAATTATGGCATCGAAGCTAATTTTCTTGTTTTTTTTTCTTGTCAAATTCATTTTCTAAATTTAGCAATCAATTTATCTTTATCTTGTGCAATGCTGCACTTGAAGAAATTTAGTGTAACGGATTTTAATTAGCTCTGTCGCAGGCACAAACAATAAAATGAAGTCGTTTAAATTTACAGTTAGCTGCAAGTTAATCCCAGTCCTAGCGATAGATACGCCACTGAATTACCAGAATGAGAGACGTGTCCGATGTTTTATTACGGAGTTAGCTGGCCGCGTGGTCATTATAGGTTGATGAGCAAGAGCGGAGCAAACGAGAACAACCCCTCAGGACTCATCTGCCTGCCAGCACTCGGCCGCTTTTCCGACTGACGGCGAATATGATTATTGCACCGTGAGGGGAACGAACGCTGCTATTTCGGACTGCGTTGATTGAGGAATTGTTCTTTTGGCTGCGGTCAGAGGTTCCTTCAGTAATGCTTTTATGTGAACAAAAAATTTGCTTTTGGTTTTAAAATAAAATAATTTAAAAAAAATACTGTTTAATCCAAGATTTAACTTTAAAATTTTAATTTTATATTATTTTTTTTATAATTTTTTTTTATTTTTAATTTATTATATAATTTTGATTTTTAATCAAATATATTATCTGCTTTTCAGTATTTTTTACGAATTGTTATAAATCTAATTAAAATATTTTCTTTAAAAAAATATAATTTACGCAATTGTTCAAAATCATTCACAAAGAGAAATTTTTCTTGGCTCTCGTTGTCCTTAGGTAGATTTAATCAGCAGATACAATAATGGAATGATAATATGATTAATAATTTCGATGTTTAAAATCACACCTATAATAGAATCAAAATTAATTATATTGGCAAAACAGCTAAGGCAGTTCCAATTAAATTTTTAAAAGGAATAGGGAATAGGCTAATATGAGTCTTTCATTGGATTGTTGTATTAGAAAATCGATTCATATTTTTAAAAAGAAATCGTATTTTACATTTCTTAAAAGTTCTATCAAGTTTGATGTTCAGCTTTTCAAAAAACAGAATCGTTGCACCTAACAAAACACTGGAAGGCTACAAACATTGGAATTAGTTCTTGTGCACACTTTCATTCGCAGCATGAACTACGAATTTATCACCATTTTGCTGCAATCCCCGCTCAAGCTCCTTTTCTTAATTTATTTTTGCCGCGTCCCATGCTTAATTTATTTGCACAATAAAAATCCCCAGCCGGCAGCAACACAGAGTGGTGGCGACGCCGGAGCAGCTTCCGAATGAAATTTCAATTAAAATTTAATAAAGGCGAGGCTGTTTGCCTGCGCTTTAATTAATATAGCGGCGGCAGCCGACGAATAAACAAGCGAGCAAGTAAGGCCCGAGTTAGTTTTTTAAGGATTCTGCGTATGGCAATAGATTTCATTAGTGTCACCGCTCGCAGGGCTGCAAACAGATAATTTCCGGCTGACCTCCCGCTGCGCCTTCCGCCATCCAAGGCTTCATTCCGACCGATTTTGCATATTATTTATATACGCGCCTCGGGGATTTGCATACGCTTTATTTTTTCCACCCCCGCGTGCAGTGCGTGTGTAACTTTTGTTATTTTTCCTCCGAGGAGAACAAAACACGGGCGGACTGCTTAATTTGTATTGGCAACTCGCCGCTCCGAAGAGAAAATCCTGAAAAATTACGCCGCTTTCGTTCGTCTTGTGTCGGGGGTTTTTATTTGCTGTCGGTGCGTTCTCCCTGATGATTAGAATTTTACTGCCCGGCGAGTGAGCAAGAGAGAAAGAACGAATTTCACTCTACTCACGTCGGATGAAAAATTGGGGATGAGTGAGCGAGTGTATTTGTTACTATACCACGGTCGCACTTCTTCTCCCTTGAGCATTCGGGGTGGAATCGGAGAGGCCATCTCTGGCCAGCGGCCGGTAACTCCGCCAGCTCACTTGTAGAATACAATTTTCATATAATGAAATAAAATATATCGTTCAGCTCGATAATGTTGATAAAAAGTGGTACATTTTACATATTTGTGTCAGCACTACCTTCAGGATCGGAAATCGTAGTAATGGTTGGGAACTTGTAAATGGTTAAATTAAGCTATACAAACAATATAGTCACAACCCTTGTCAAAAACGAGACCGTTGGAGGTCGTACTCGAGTACGACCTCCGACGGTCTCGAACGACCTCATATTTTTACATGGTAAATGTTTAGGGGCAACGGTTGCCCCTAGGTCTCGAACGACCTCAAACGGTCTCGGGCGACCTCGGAGGTGTCCATCGACCTCGAACGGTCTCGGCGACCTCGGCCGGTCTCGGGCGACCTCAAACGGTCTCGGGTGACCTTACGTGTTAATAAATTGAAAACCATTAAGGGCAACTGCCCCTCTGGATCAAACGGTCTCGAGCGACCTCGGGCGGCCGCGATCCACCTCGGGCGGCCGCGATCCACCTCGGGCGGCCGCGATCCACCTCGGGCGGCCGCGATCCACCTCGGGCGGCCGCGATCCACCTCAGGCGGCCGCGATCCACCTCGGGCGGCCGCGATCCACCTCGGGCGGCCGCGATCCACCTCGGGCGGCCGCGATCCACCTCGGGCGGCCGCGATCCACCTCGGGCGGCCGCGATCCACCTCGAGCGGTCTCCAGACCGTTTGACCCAGAGGGGCAGTTGCCCTTAATGGTTTTCAATTAATTAACACGAAAGGTCACCCGAGACCGTTCGAGGTCGCCCGAGACCGTTTGAGGTCGTTCGAGACCGAGGGGCAACCGTTGCCCCTAAAAATTTACCATGTAAAAATATGAGGTCGTTTGAGACCGTCGGAGGTCGTACTCGAGGTCGCTCGAGACCATGGTCTCGAACCTCGAGTACGACCTCCAACGGTCTCGTTTTTTGACAAGGGAATCTCAAAATTAATTTTCGTTATATTTATTATTATTTAAAAAACCTGGTAATATGAGCTCAATCGTGTTGTCCATGAACGCGAGCGCAAAATTGTTGAGCGCATCCATGTATGAATTATAGCAACTAATGTAATATTAAAAATTATAGTGTTTTATCATTTATGACATAATATAAATTTTAATTACGATTATAAATGATATTTTTCATAATTATTTTTTATATACTTTTTAAACACAATTTGTATTTTTTCTCTCAATTTTTAATATCTTTTATTAAATTTATAGCGTTTCTTGAAAATAATATTAATCCGTGTATGGAGTTTGAAACTAAATAAATTTAAACTTTACAACAGCTAGATTACTTATCTAACTCTATTTATTTACAATTAAATTTTTTGCAAAATCAACGTTGATTAACATAACAGCCAATATTTAGTAATTCTCACAGTCAGAGCATCAGAGGTCTGTAAAATTGTATTTTCTTTTTTTACTTTTTGGCGCATAATAAAATTCAAATAATTCTGGGAGAAATTAGAAACCTCTCAAAAATATGATATACATAATATTTTCATCGAGGATATATCTTAATTTTCACTTCCACTACAAATACAACAGTATTTTAGCGTGGCTTTAAAAAAAATCTAATCAATGCAGAATTATGAACTTTTCGAACTTTTCAGGTCAATTATTTAAAAATAATCAATACGAAAGCTTGCTACTCTGCTAAATTTTTATTTTTCTGGACCATATTGCAATTCATTGTCTCGCATAAGTCATTATATCCAATTTAATTAATAATCGCTCTTTGGCATGTTCCATTTATTATTGATCATTAATATAATTTAAAAATATTAATGAGAATAAAACTTTCATGACCATCAGAAATTACAATAAAATTGTCACGTCTTTTATTGTGCGTTGAAATCTGCCAGTTTGAAGTTTCGCACGCGGGCTGCTTTCTTTGCTTCCTCCTCAACTCTCTCCCATGCCTTCTTCTCTCGCCTAGCTTCAGAAAGTAATTTAAGAAAAGGAATTATCGGCGAAATGAAGGAGAAACAGCAGCCGAGCAAGAAAGTTTCCGCACCTTTCGGGCTGCGTCGCTCTTTTTTCCTTTCGCTTGCTCAGGTTCGCTGGCAACGTCTCAACCGAATGAAGTATTAATTTCGTTAAAATCTTTTCGTTCGTAAAAGTGTCATTGTGAGGAGAGGGCGGGGGTGGAAGGTGACAAGACAAAAGACTACATATATAAGAATGGTGGTCCAGTGGAGCGAAAATACAGAGAGTGACCCCGGCCGCCCTCGCCCCCGGCTCATTCCAATCAGTGGAAGAAGCCAAAAGTGCTTGTGCTCCGGAGCTGCTGGTCATCAACAGAAATTGTAGACCTCTGATCTTTTTTATTCCCTTTGCTTTTTCCGCTCCTTTCTCGCCACAAGTTTCTTTTCTTCATTTCCTCTATTATAACAAAAACCTCAAAGTGCGCGCGGCAGCCAACCTTATCTGTCTATCTCTCGGCTCTCCACACACTTTCTTTTTCCTTTCTTCTTGCTCTCCGCCACCGTCCTCATCCTCTTCTTTTTTTTTTATTTAATCTTTTAACAACAAAATACTGGCAGAACATCTAATATAAAGTTTCCAAACTTTTTGTTCAGCTCTTTCGCGTGGAATTTGATTTGAGATAGCGCTGCACGCCGACTTCTCTGCCACCGCCTGAGAGAAATGCAGTAATTGTCTTTCTGCGGAGATAAGAATTTCGCTTGCTTTACAACACTTTTTCCACGGCAGCCACCACTGGAGAGTTTTTTCCGCTCTATCTGCCGATGCCCTACATGTTAGCGACGTGCCCTTTTTTCTATCAGGGTCGTTTTTAATTAAAAATCCTGTTAAGTACAATGAGCAACGAATGCTGATAAACGAAACCTTCAGCAGTTATTTTCTTCTACAGATATAAATCGAACTTTGATTATTTCATAGTTATGGTAAAAACAAATTGTTTTAAGTTCCCTTAATTTTTCGTTTTAATAAAAGCAAAAGCGTTGCCTTTTTAGCCAACAATATATCTGAACATATAGGAAAATCAAAACCATATGTGACGAACTGAGAAAATAAATGTTTCAGAATGAACAAAACGACATTATATTTTGTTAAAATTACATTTTTTTTTTACATAGAATTCAAAAAATGGAAATTGACATTAAAAAACATAAAATTCTCAAATTTATTTCAATAATTCTCTGTCTCGCCACAGTTTTGATATTTTATTTTAATGTTTTCAAGTTCTTTATTTTAAGGGGCAATAGCAGGAAAGAAAAAACTGCCATCCATCTTTTTTACGTCTATGTATTTATTAAAGATAATAATTTATTAATAACTATATAATAAGCATTTTATTAAAACTTTAAATTTAGTCGCCATTGCATTCTTCTTCTTAGCTGTAAAAAACAAAAGTCTTTTTTTCATATCCGCCAGCTCTGCTTCTCGCCATCGCCTTTTCTCAATTTCCTGCGTCGGCTAACTGCCGTTGCCGTTGCCGTCGCCAATTAGATATCTGGCCGAGAAGGTGCACACGTGCCCACCCGACACGGCTTTCCTTCTTCTTTTCCTTCTCTTTTGTACATTACTAGAGCTGGACCCTGCCTTTGCTCAGCCCTTTTTCGCGTCCATATGTACAACCGACATAATCAACCACGTGAAAGCCACACGATGAGATGGGAAATAAATAGAGTGGCCGATGCTCTTTTGGTATCCTGAAACGGCTTGCAAATTAAAAACACTAAAACCATCTTGCGTTAATTAGGTAAAATTGAAAGCAACCGTTGACGAGTGAAGTGGAGGAATTTAAGATATATTTCATTTCATTTAACTTTAAAAGCAAATTTTAAATTACCCAACTAAATTTAAAATATAATTAATGTTATTTTATTGTACCTTTTTTAAGATTATGTTTTAATATTTTAAATTTTTAAATTTTACGTGCAATATAATTTATTTTCATTTCATTTTATATATGATTGTATGTAGTACTTTTTTATAATTGCATTACCACATACTTTTAAAAAATGTCTTTTAATTTTATTTTAGAGGAAAAAATATAGGTCCTCATTACTAAGCCACATTAAATATTTTCTAATGAAAAATAGCAGTTTCCAATTATTCCTTGTGACATTTTCAAATGTCATCCCAATCCAGATTATAATTGATAATTATGTATGTATTTTATAATGGAAGAAGGAATTGAAGGAAAATGGTGAAAAAAGTAAATATAACTAACTGAAGTGCAGAAGATTAATCTTTCTTCATGAGCTCATTCTATTATCTAAAATACTTTTAAACATTAAATTTATGACACAGAGTGAGATAAAAAGGGAACACTTGTCTTGTTCAAATGTAATTAAATCAAGGAATCATGTACATAATAAATTATGAAACCACATTTTTCTGGTAAAAAAAAACACACAACATAAAAGAAGAAAAATATAATTCATCTATATTATTTTAATTAAATGCTAATTTAAATCTAGAGATTCTTCTTTTTTAAATCATAACTTTTCAAAATGTTCTATAAGAAAATTACACAACTTAAATTCATGTCATCACCTATATTTCGCTCTTTATTTGGTTGTTCCCATCATACGCAATTAAGCTTCATATTTTTCTGTAATTTTATCAAATTTCGTGCTATAGAAATTCGATTTTTTTTACTTTCGAGCAAAATTTATGAAAGCGACAATTTTGCGTTTTGGCGCTCAAAGAATAATACATGAGTCGCACTCACGGTCAACCCTCGCGCAAAGAGAATTCATTGCATTGAAATGATTATTTATATTTCACGACTCGCGCTAAACACATTAGCGTAATGAAAAATAAATTAGCGTCCATACACAGAAAGAGGGACCCTCGACACTGTCGGGGTACAAATGTGAATTGTAAAAGTAAGGACCAAGTGTAGCGAGAACTCGAGTTGGCAGGAGAGAGGCTGTGCTGCAATCAGAGAGGGAATAAATGACGGCCACGCATAAATAGCAATTTGTGAATAATTAATCTGTCATAGTAAACTCATTACGACGCGGCGGAGACCCACGGCGCGCGGGTGAAAGAACGAAACGAACGAGGCAGCGCATAATATAAAGTTGTTCTTTGCCTGAGTCAGCCCTCGTGGGAGTCATTAATAATGCACTAAGCTTTCTGACCTATGTGGCCCTTTGATTAAGTGCCACACTCATTAGACGTACGAATATATACCCAGCCGGGGGAAGCAACTTTTCCTTATTGCAAATGACAGCAAACTTACACACGCGCCACCGCCGCCGCCGATCTTTCGTTTTCGCCGAGAGAGATGCAATTTATTCTTTGACACGGCGAGGCGCGCCGATAAAATATTTCTCGCAGCCACTCGTTCTCTCCCTCGTTGATGATCATTTGGCTGCCGTGTGTTCGCGTAATCAGTTTGCGTCTCACTGAACGAACGACTTTCTTACTTGATTAATTATTTTTGCTATACGAATACCCAAAAACGCTTAAATTTATACAGTTCCAATCATCTTTGCATCACATTAGATATATTCTTAAAAACGTTTTCACAACAAATGTAGAGCTCTAAGCAATCAAATTTCTGGTACATCTTATAACTATAGCTATGAAAATTTAAAACAATTTATTAAATCAAATATATGCAACAGGCAATCGCGAAAAATTACTTGTTTAAACTTTGAGACAAATGTTTAAAAAAATCAAAATAATTTTTGAAATTTGTTATTTACTGTTAGATTACCTTCAATTAATTATCCAGAATTCAATAATATGAAATAAAAGTAATTTCCAAAAATTCAATTAAAATTATCTCCAGGATACAATTTTTTAAGAAATGGTTAAGATGGTTTAAATTTACTATGTAATAAAAAAATTTGATTAAACAAAAATGCCCTTTTTTGGGGTTACCTTCAGGTTTTTCAGGGAAAGGGTAGCAAAATTGGAACAGATCGAGCCATCTATATTTACTTTCTCTAACTTGCTATTTTGGACTTGTTAGCACAAACAAGAGTCAAGAGTTATGCCTTGTTAGAACACCTTATAGTCTGCAAGCTGCTTTAATATAATTTAAAATTTTGTAATGCAGAATAAAAGTTGGTATCGCTTATAATGCCAAAATTATTGTTCTGATTTGGCAAAATTTCTTTAAAATTAAAATTGAAAAACAAGGCGCAACAAACAAATTTGAAAATCGATTTCAATCAAGATTTGCTCATCGAAATGATTATTTAGATCTGATAAAACTGCATTGTAAAGAGAATTTTGTATTTAATGTTATGGTGGTATTCACTTCTAGCCAAATTAAAATCCAAATTCAATTAATTAAAAAATGCTTCTAATTATTATGCAACGCAAATGAAGACAATTCCAGAAGGATAATTTTTGGTGATTCAATTCATTCAAAACATCAGAAAGAAAAATAAAATCACGTTCCTCAGCAAACAGTGACAACGCAGAGCCCGTGACAACCAATTTAATTTGTTCCCACTAAATTTACATTCTGATGGCTAATTTGAACAATTACATTTTGTTTTTAAACACCACTATTTCCGCTTGGTTAACTACTTTGGCTGCTCGGATTGCATTTTCTTTACAAAGTCCTCGTCCTGCATGGACAGCTGGGTCAACTTTTTGCCGACACGCTCGTGGATGTCCAGGTACTTGGCCACGCACCTGTCTATGCAGACGCCCTCACCCTTGGCCAGGTCAGCTTCTCGGTATTTGGGGGGAATGCACTTTTTGTGGCAAGCGTTGGTCATCCGTGAGTACATGTCCGACATCATCTCGATCTCCAGGTCCTGCACGGCTTGCATCTTTGCCGTGTCCAGCTGAGGCGCTCCTCCTGGAGGCACTGCCATTTTTCCTAAAGAAAAAATTATTAATTTAATTCAAGAGGTAAACTTTATGAATAGAATCTCATACTGTTTTAAAAAGTTGGGGATAAGGCGAGGAATAAACTGGAGGTTCTTAGGTGAATCTTTCGCTGGAAGGGTATTCGCCGAAATTGGATTTTCTCATACGCTCGCGCACTTTCATAGACTCCAAGCGTCTCGCATCGACCGATCGCTTCGACAGAACGAAGCCGTAGACGCCTGCGATGCTGATTCCAGTCCTGAAAGAAGATTTTAATTATTAAAAAAAAAAAATTGAACGATGCATTTAGTTTTGTTTGAAGGCAAAAAATGATGAAAAAGGGGAAGGTCATCATCGATCAAATTTCTGTCTCAAATTTTATGGCAAAAATGCTTCCGGTCCCATTCAAGTTTGATTTTAAACATAAAAAATTGCAATTTAATGGATTTAATCGACCACAAATAGCCCAAACTAACCAAGCAATGCCGATTTTTGCTGCTCTCGTCAATGGCATTATTCAGCACAGCACATGTCGACCAGCAGCCTCAATAAGGGCCTCAGGGGTAAGGGGGCGTGGCAATTGAACATCTGTTCCGCTGTAAACAAAAAGCTTTTGTGTCTTGATAAATAATAATCCTTAAAAATGATTTTTATCTATTTAAATTAAGTCTTAATTAACTGACTCTAGCAGAGCTTAAGCTCTCTTTTGAATCAATGGTGATGTTTTTATTGAGCCACACCATTTTATTTATTTTTAAAAGTATTAAAAAGCTTATTTTTCCGAGAATAAATCTAGGCGATTTTCAAATATTATATTTGAGCAATAATTACCTGGTTGCATACAAACCCTACGATCTTTTAATGAATTCTGACAATCCAACGGTGGTATGTATTATAGGGTTATAAGTTAAATTTGAAATTTATATATATTTGACATTTTTAAATTCTTAATTATTATAAAAGTCCTACACCATGTAAATTTTTATTTTCCAGGAGACCCTGCAAACCTTATTATCAAATAAATGTCCAGCTTTGGCAAATCCACGTCTGGGACATCAGTTCCACTTCATTCACCGCCTGGACTTCATCACCAGTGGTGTTGTCTGTGTCGCCTTAACCAAGAAGGCGGCAAAAGAGGCTGGCAATCATTTCAGCGATCGAGAAGTCAAGAAGTTTTACGTTGCCTTAGTCAGGGGCTGGCCGAGTCAAAATTTCATTTGCATCAATGAACCAATTGGTTTATAATTAATTATTCCTCAATGTCCATAATTTGCTTAAAAATAATTTCAGGTGAAGACAAAAACGAGCTATTAACATCAAAGAAAATGTGCATTGGATCGGATAAAAACTGCATTAAAGCTAGAAACGCACAAACAAGAGTTCTGGTCCTAGAAACGGGCTTTTACCAAAACTACCCAGCTTCTAAGGTTTGCATTTATTTTTATTTTGTTGATTAAAATCATCACAGATCCTTCCTTGTCAGGTCTTGCTGAGTCCATTGACAGGTCGACGACACCAACTACGAGTGCACCTTTCGTATTTGGGCCACACAATAATTGGAGACTTTACATACAGCAACAAAAAGGATGTTGAACCACCAAGAACATTTTTGCATTCATTGTGGTAATATGCTTTGAAAAAATCTAAGAAAAAATGCGCAATATCATCCAATTTTAATTTTAGGATTAGAATTCCAAGTCAACTAGAGGAAAATAAAATTGTTGATGTGAAAACTGAGGATCCATTTGAAAGAACGAGTCAATGGAAACCTTTGAAAAAAATTCACAGCATCAACGACAGCAATTCATTCAAACTCCTGGAATAATCCTGTATGAAACAGTAAAATTTTAATATTTTTATAAATTTGCAACTTAATTTTTCTTATTTAGGAATGAACAAGGGCAAAACTGTGAGAGGCACCGCATCCGATGAGCTTGACGTTGCTCAAAATGAGTTGAGGGGCAAATTGGTCGTCCAAGTTTCCATTGCCACAATTTCCATGCTCGTTCCATCCTGAAGTCCACAAGTTTCCACTCTCTGCAATTATTGAAGTAATTTAATTTGCATTTTATTAAATTTTCACAAAATTTTCACCTGTCAAAACCATGGTGTGCTCTGAACCAAGACAAATTTGCTTTACTTTTGCGTTGTCACTGCAAGGCCACAGAACGGGCAATTTTTCTCCAGTCTGTTCGGAACACCCCAGTTGACCGTAATTGCTCCTCCCCCAACTATTAACTCCTCCATCACCTTGTAAAAAAGATTTAAATTTGTTGTTTAAAATAAAAATGACTAACTCACTCTGAATTCCTGCGCAGTGAGACCATCCACTTTTTACTTCAATGAACTCTTTGCCTTTCAAGAACTCGGCAAAAATCAATTCTTCCGTTTTATGAACATTCGGATTTGTGGCCATCTGGCCAAATTTATTTTCCCCCCAGCAGAAAACTTGTCCGACGTCAAGGTCATTTTCTCTGTTGGCCATCAAAACTAAATTGTGCTTCTGACCACATGCAATTTGAATTGGTCTTAAAATTGAGGGAACAGCTACTTAAACAAAATTTATTAATTATTTTAATATCTATTTCAATTTTAAACCTATTTCTTGTTTTCCAGAGATGCTACAAAAAAATATTGTTCCGTTCCTTCCAATCCACGCCGTCTGTCGAAGGCCAGCAGCAACGAAGAGGACTTCTTCGGCTAGCAAAGAGGGTGAATTTCTCCACTTCCCTCTTTCAACCTTTTCATATATTTTTGTAAAATAATTTTATTTTCAACTTTGCTTCTGAAATTACCACGTTTCCCATTTGACCGTGACTGTTGCTTCCCCAAACAAAAAGTTGGCCGTTTACCGCCAGGGCTGAAGAATGCTCCCATCCAGCAGCTACTTGTACTATTTTTGTGAATCCCTTAAATTCAATCTGAAAAACTTCATTAATACAGAACATCAAACTAATAGAAAATATCACACCTTTGTCCACAGTCTACTGATTTTGACCTCCGGATCCACGGGAGCCCCGCACTGACCCCGATTGTTTTGTCCGCAAGCCCAAACGCAGCCGTCAGAGTCAAGAAGCAATGTATGGCCTCCACCTCCACAAATTTGACAAATATTGCTTAAAATTTCATCAGGAAGACCGTCCAAGCTGCACTGCTGAGGTGTGCTGCTCTCTTCAAAGACAGGCCAACCTTCATGTGCAAGCTGCCCGTACTGGTTCGCGCCCTGCATTTGTAATTTATGTGTGATTTACACAAATAAACTTCTACTCAAAGTTTTTCAAATATTTACCCAGGAGAGAAGTCTCATTTTTTTTTATCATCCACCAATTTTGCTGAAACATATGAGTGTTAAACAAAATTTGTAATAATGATATTTAATATATAATTAAGTAATAATAGAAAACGTAAAAACTGTAAGATTTCCCAAAATAAAAATTAGCTTTTATTAATTTTTATTTAATCACCAAGCAAAAATAGTCTAGTTCATTTTAATTTCGCCTCTAAAGTTTTGAAACAGAAAAGATCTAATTCACGCTAATTTATAAAGTTATTCTTAAACTGCAAACTTGAAAATTATTTCCAACACTAAACATTTCAAATTAAGTGGCACACATAAAATTTTTTATATATTTACATACTTGTGCGTTTTGATTAGTAGGGGTATCTCAATTATGTTAAAATACCACTTTAGCAGAGCATAAGCAGATTGGCGAAGGTAAATTGTTTTGATTTTTATTGTAGCCGCGCTAGTGGCGCTAGTTACCTCGAACTACGCAAAATCTATGAACCGCTACGAACAATAGAAGATCAATGTGCGCATATTTTGCGCTTTCTGACTGAAGATGAACATGCCGGTGTAAACAAAACGAGAAAATTTGGTCAGATTTCTCTACCTCCAGCACGTTCAGAGAAATTATAACTGGTAATTAATAATTAATATATTCATTTCAATGTTTTAACCACCCCGATAATTTAGATTAATAGTTTTTTTTATATTCGCCTGGAAATCATGACTTTATTTTTCCACTAATTTTACCCGCGTTTTTTATTTCTAAACAATTTTATTCCTGTTTCGCACTCAGTATTTTAAGGAACAATTTTTTAAATTAAAACATAAAAAAATTTAATCTCTATTTCAGAAATTTGGAGCAACTAACTTGAGGATGGCGGATCCAGACCTGCACCAGCTTATGCTGGATGCTGAGCAGCAATCGGCTGAAATATCCAGTATGGGTTCTGCTTTGCCGCAGCTAGACAGAAACCTGCGACAGGTCTGTGAAGCGTCGCAGACGTTATGGAACAAATTGTCTCAAAGCGGGTCAAGCGAAGGCATTCAAGCGTAAGAAAAAATAAAAAATTCTATTAAATTTATTAAAATTAGAAGTCAAGGTTGGTACATCACAAACGAAGCAAATTCAGATTGTTTTTTTGAGCGTTCTGAGCTGAAATAAATATTAAAAAAAAAAAATCATTGTTGTGATGCGCAAACCTTAATAAGTAATGTTATTATGTACTACAAAGCTCGAATTTCTCACGCAGGCACCTTTTGCTGGGCACGAAAGGAATGGATCTGTCACAAATATCACAGAAACTGGAAGCCCTGAGCTCAAAAGACATGCTGGCCCCTTTAGAACCTGTGCCTGACACAGACATAGACAATTTTCTGATGAACGAGACACAAAACGTCTTGCTTGGCATTTTAGAAGAGACCCAGAATTTTGTACGTTTTTAATTGAGCTTTAAAATTTCGCATTTACTGATTTTTTTCTGGCACAGAATTTTGGCAAGTTGAAAGAGAAAGCTAGAGTTGAAACGGAAGAAAAGGTTTTGGAGGAGAGTTGGCTGAAGGAGCGAGCAGATATTTTGCATGCCATTCTGCAAGAGTCGGTCGACCAAGAGATGGAGTTTGTCCAGCCCGATCTAGAGGTATTAAATTAAAAGTTTATCAATTCGTTTGCATATAAATTATTTCATTTGCTCAAAGACGACTGTAATGAGTGAAAGGCCAACAACGGTCAGAAGTCTGATGACCAGTCAGGAGGTGTCGTATGCCAGCAAAATCATCGAGTACAACAAATCTATTCTCTCAGGCAGCTCCAAAGAGCCCTTGATGAAAACCTTTACCAAAATGTCCTCCCAGTTCAGTGAAAAGGTAAATTTTGATTAAAATAATTTTATTAATTGATTCAATTGTTTGCAAATTTAGAAAATTCTTGATCTTTGGGAATGCTTGTCTATGATGGTGAAAATACCAGTTGAACTTTCAATTGTGGACTCGGATCCATTGAAAAGCAGGAACAGTCCAATAGTGCAATCTGCTCTCATCAAGCAGGCCAGGCTATTTTTGCAGGACAGGTATGGAGGATAAAAGATTTAATTGGAAGAGCTTTTTTTATTTTATCGTCAATTTAGATACAAGCAGTTCATGCAGAGTGCAGTTGCCAACAATTTGCAGCGGGCAATGAGAGGAGGAGCTCCAGGTACTTTCCCACTGGTCAGGAGCTTTGCAGCTATCCAAGAAATCGTCAACGAAGTGGGATTTGAGGATGGGCAAATCGAGGGTCTGCCTGTCTGGGCCCTCATTTTCTATTGTCTCCGAAGTGGAGACTACAAAGCCGCTTACTACTGCGTACAGCAAGCTGGGTAGTTTTGCCTTACACAATGTTTTAAGTTTCATGATTTTTGATAATTTTTTTCTTCAAGGTCTCATTTGGTCGATTATGTGGCCTACTTTGAAGAGTTGGCTGCGAGTGATGGCCAAGTTAGTGAATCAACTTCGGAAGTTCTGAGGTACCAGTACAGACATTCTGTTGCTTCGTCTGGAGATTCTTTCAAGAAGTGAGTTGGTTCGATTTAATTTTTGCAACCCCAAAGTCAAGGAGACATGGAAAATTAATTTTTCGATTAGTTTTGACCAAATTTTAAACTTTTCTTTTTATCAGGGCCGTTTTCTGCCTCCTTGGAGGCTGCGATGTCAAGGAAGACTTCCCGGAAGTGATTCAGACTGCCGAGGACTACATTTGGTTCAAACTTGGTCAGGTCAAAGCCATGCCTGGAGGTCAGGAGCTGCCCATGGATATGCTGACATTCAATCACCTTCAAAGCTTAATATCTCAGGAATATGGTTAGTTTTATTTAAAAAAAAGTCACCAAAGTAATTTAATTGGATTTTTTTTTACTCATTCACAACATTTTTTTTTTATCTAACGAATTGAAATAATTTTTATTGCTATTGAATGATTTAAAAAAAAAAAAAAAACAATTTACGTAAGCTCTGAAGTAAATCATAAAATTTTCCAGGAGAAACTCATTACAAGGCTACTGAGCAACCCTTCCTCTACGCGTCGATGCTTTTACTGACTGGCCAATTTGAAGAGGCTATCGAGTTCTTGAATCGTACAACCCTCCTCAGGCCTCACGCTGTCCACATGGCCCTCGCATTGGCCGAAACTGGGTTGCTCGCTACCTCCGTGCCACTCCAAGCTCCACTTGGTGAGATTAAATGTTTTAATTGGTAACCAAATCATAATTGACTTTTCCTCAATGAAATCAGTGTCATTTGACGAGAACGAGCCGGCGCCCAGCAAACGTCTCAACCTACCTCGTTTGGTGATGACCTACTGCAGTAAATTCAACCACTCAAATTTGGTCGAAGCCATCAATTACTTCTATTTCCTAAGGTGAGCAAAATGTTTAATTTTGCTTCACATCTTAAAAAATTTTAAACTTTACAGAGATCTTAAAGATGCAGATGGAGTGAATCTGTTCAAGCTCTGCTGCTGTGACCTGGCTCTTGAAAACAAGGCATTTGTGGTCATGTTTGGCCAGCTGAATGACCGCGGAGACAGAGTCTTTGGAGTGGTTGACGAGTTCTTCTCATCCCCTGAAGAGACAAAGTCCATCATCAGGATGGTAGCCGAAGAGTCTGAGAAGAAGAGCTGCTTGGAGGATGCCATTTTCCTCTTCGAGCTTTGCAATGTAAGAAATCTAACTTTTTTTGATTTGGATTACAAATTTTAATAGTTTAGTGTTTTGCGATGATTCCAAGCACCACAGAATTAAATAAAAATCATTTCACGATTTATTTACAGGATCACGAAAATTCCCTGCGGCTTCTGAACTCGATGCTCGGCCAAGTTCTGGCACAAGAAAATGTCCCTGGGTCCGTTCGTGACAGGATGGAAGGTGTTGCCGTCATCCACAGACAGCGCTACCACGGAAAGGAAATCAACTGCTCTGCGCCGACCGCCAGCAACTTCAACCTGCTGTGCCACCTGCTCGAGTTCTTCAATTTCTATCACTCCAAAGACCATCGGAAGGCGCTGGAAATTGTCAGCGAGCTGGAATTACTGCCCAAGAAGCAGTCCGAAGTGGAGAACTACACGGCAGTCTTTCGTCAACTCTCTGGCGACATCATGAAGAATATACCTGAAGTCATGCTGGCCACAATGACCATCATCAGCAATGAGTTTGCAAAATTCAAGTAATATTCGTAATTTAAATTCTCATAATTTATTTTTAAAACTTAAATTAAAATTTTCAGAACGAACCAAGTTGCTTCTCCAAACAGAAGTCAGGTGCAAGAAGAACTCAAACAATACGCCCAAGCGATCACTGCCTACTCAGCCTCGTTGCCATACAACATGCCTGGGGACACCAATGCGAAGATGGTGCAGCTGATGATGACCATGAATTAAGTTAAATTTTTGTTTGTTCAATCTTCAGTTGAAACCAATTATCAGTGCAAAATGTAAAATAAATATAATTTCGTATAATTTTGATTGTGTTATTTAGTCGGACATCTTTGGATGCGGTTTGAACCCAGCAAAGATCTTCAGCCCAGCGCCTTTCTTCACTTCAGGGGGGTTGATTCTGTCTTTTCATTTCAGGCAGGTGCCGGCATTGTCCTTTTGTTTCTTCAAGAATCGGGCCTTAAATTTACTAAACTCGTTATTGTCTGGAATTTCTTCTATCAGGGTGAAATCCTGCTTTGGGAGATCTTTGTTCCCGACGAAATGTAAAGGTGTGGGAGTGAATTTTGATGTCTTTCCTTTCGAGCCTTCTTCCTTGAGTTGTTTGTAAGCCATTTTTATTGGTCACCAACAATTTGATAATTTCAGGCTCAATATGATTCAGTCGTCGCATTGTTGTTATTAGATTTTGCCCAACAATCAATCTTGCACAATGTATTGCAAGTTACTTTTAAAGATTTTTCCAAAATTTTCGGTGATAGAATGAAACAATTTTTTTTTTTGCGTTTTTTAAGTGGTTACCATTTATTACAATAATCATTATGACTATCCTAGCATTGAAAACAAATTTAAATTTAAGCTCATTTCAAATATAAATAGAAATGTAGTTTTTGTCTGCGGGTATCTCCTTACGAATTACTGTAGTAGTTGTTCAAAGATTCTTATATAAGCAGGCTCTTTTTTTTCTTGTCAATAGTAGTTTAGGTCCCAGACGACTATTATACTTCTTTATATAACTCGTGTTATACTTTAATTTGCTGCTTCACGATAAGTAGTTAACCACTTATTTAAGTTTCCTTTAAAGATCTCTCAAATTTAATTTATTTTACACTTTGATATGAAGATCAGGAAAATTACGGAGAGAAAAGAGAGTGGTGAGAAAAATGCAAGGGAAAAATCACATTTTCTTATTCAAAAAGGGAGGGAAAATATGCTGCAGAAATGGTTGATATGTTATTAGGTGTTGCTGGAAAATTAAAAACGAGAAGAAAAAAACGACAAAAATTATACAGACTAAAAATGCCTACATCTCATAAGAGCAGCAATAGTGTCTTTTTTAAATTAAAAAAATTAAATTTAGAGCAAACTGTAGAGAGAGAGGTCCAATATTAAAATCTATATTATGTATTTTAAATTTCTCGCAAAGTTTAACAACTGCTTTTTTTAAATCCTCCGTTAAATTCATTATCAAGTTTGTGTTTTATGCATGGGTCAGAGATTGTCTAAAGAGCCTCTTTTGCGCCGATTAAAAGATTTTCTCCTGTTCTCGAATTTGTGCTCGCCTTCCGTTAGTTGTGTTTGTTTATCACTGGATTGTCTGTCTGTTCGTGTATGTCTGACTTCCTGAATAGAAAACAAAACTAAAAATATTCTAATTTTGGCTGTCTGGAAATTGAGTATTTTCTTCTCAGCACCAGATGCGGTCAAAAAAATTATTATATTCCGAGAGCAGAAAAATCAGCATCAGATTCACCGACCGTCCGACAGCTTTTGTTTGTCTCTAGTAGCAAAAACCAACAAGGCACAATCTTGTCTTTTCCATCATATACATCAGCACACATCACGTACTTTTACAAAAACTTTATACAAAAATTAAAGGCTATACACTCGCCTCAATTACAAAAAGTGTGAATACTTTTTCTGCTTTACTCTCAACATTCGTCTCAACTCCCGAGGTCTTGCACGCTTCATTTTTTTTTTTACCTTATTTTAATATATTACAGATTTACAACAAGGCTTCCACGACACAAATCCATCATAGACATTTTTTTATCATAGGTTCACAACATTCAACATTGTCATCTCATACATGCATCTTCTGCGTGCCCGTGGGAAATTAACATGTTCCCATTAAAACAGTACAAGATTTTAAGCTTATATATTTAAACTAAAAAGTGCTAAAAAGAAAGAATTTTTTAATGTCTGTTTTTATCGGGGTCTTGTAAATTTGTATAATTATTGAAAGCTTCTCGTCTAAAATAAGGAAGCTCTTTTCAAAAGTAAATTTAGTCATAATATTTAAGGCCAAAGCCGAGTGCTATTTTTTTTTTCATGCTGCTGAATCTATCTAATTCTATAGAACTAATTTTCAGCAAAATTATACATTATTATTCTGCCTAATACATTCAAAGTAAAACTAAATTTCAATTTTGAAACGTATTTTCCATACATTTCTGTAAATATTCGGCAAGTTTAAGATTTTTCGTTCAGCAAATAAAAATATTTACTAGGAAGCTCGAATAGGCCTTAATTCTTGAAATTACACGAGAAAAATCTAAAACTGCGCATCTTAAAGAGTAAATTCAATGTAGACATAATTAATTCATTAATTTTTACAGTGTTACAATCTACAGCTATGTATGTTTTTTTTTTCAATAATTATTGTTAAAAATTATGCTGGCGATGTCTTTTTAGCGGTTGATCAGCACATTATTATTATTTATATATTTTATATTTTTTTTGTCTATCCTCTGAACAAAAATATAGAATCATATTGTGTAGAAACTCGGTCGTCGATCACTTTTTCTGGTTCAGAACAATTATTTATATACGTCTGTGGGAAATTGAATCGCATGGTCCGTGGTAGGCACACTGCATTCTAGCGGCGGTCAAAGAGGCGACGGGATGTTTTGGTTCAATACATTTTCTCGGCTGATATGCTCGCACGTGTCGTCACCGCCGCTCTTCCTGCTTTTCGTCTCTTCAACACCAAAACCCTCATTCCAGGGGCTCTTCCCAATCATCTCTCGCCCACTCTGGCAACTGCGTCTCATATTCCCAACCAGGGCCCTGCAAACGTTCAAAAATCAAATTTTTATCAGGTCAAGTTTTTTCAGCGCCATATTTTAACCTGGATTTTATTAATTGAAATGAAAAAAAAAAGAAATTATGTTTAATTTCAATAGTAAAATAATATCTAATTATTAAATTATATTGAAAATTTCTAAAATAAATATACACTTCTTACTCCTCTATGATAATAAAAAAAAAGGATAGAAAATATTTTAATACACCACTCTACAGAACAAAATAAGATAAAAAAATTTAAAAATATAGAATGGATTTGAATTTTTAAAAATTTAATATTTTAATGAACTAAATTTGGATTTTTTTTTTATGAATAAATAATCTAAATTTGAATTTATGATGAGAAATTTCCTATCATCATTAAAGTTGTTCTGCTGGCAGAGAATTGATTTTTAATTAAAAGTACAAATTATTGGCAATAAAAGTCTGATCACACCAATTGTTTTTCTTGATCTCTCGCACGGTTCCAGTAAAATTCAAATTTAGTTTATTTATTAATTGGCAAATTTTATTGGAAAGGCAAATAAATTTTAATAAATGTAACCTTCATAATAAATAAATTTTTTTACCCTGTATTTCCATGCATGCAGGTACATGACAAGGTCCTTGGGTTTTGGGTCCCTATAACGAACTTTGCACTCGTAGCAGTGCGGATCTCGACTCATTTTGGCAGCGTCGAATCGCATGTCCGGCGACTCGTGTCCCGTCTGCGTGGCCACAGTCACTTTGCTGTGCGACGCTTCATCACTAGAGGAATCACCAGGGCTCGGCGACTCTGCACCAAAAAATAGTTGAAATTGCTTTTTTTTTTAATTTTTAAAACTCACCTTGAGAGTCGGAGGATTCAGCGCTGGGAATAGGCAAGGCCAGAGCGGGACTCATCATCAGGTCAGAGTCGCCGTCCATGCCCAGCCAGTTCTCGGCGTTGTGGATGTTGATCAGGTCCCTGATCAGATCATCATCGGTCTTGCCAATGTTGCCACCCTTGCCCTTTTCAGGCCCAAATACGGTGTGATTGTACAGGGGGTCGTTCACCACCGGGTATCCTGATTTAACATAAGTTTAATTCAAGATGATCAAGGGAAAAATAAAAACACGAACTAAAATTTTTTTATAATTTGAATCCAGAAATCAACAACAGAAATCTTCAGTTTCTTTCAAATTCAAACCATAAATTAATCATTTTTGTAAATTCTGTAGAATTGAAAATAATATTTATACGTCTGTGATTTCATTGGAAACTTTTATCATAGAAAATATATTGAAAAACAATATTTTATAATAGTAAAAAAATAGAGCTCACCAAGATACTGCAGGTGGACTCGGATCTGGTGCATGCGTCCGGTGTGGGGCTTGCACAGGACCACACTGGTGCGACCGTTGAAGTTCAGTTTCTGGAAAGTGGTGCTGCAGTCCTTGCCCTTTGGCGACACTTTGCACACCCCTATCTTGTAGCTGACCACCTCAATCGGCTCCGCGCAACAAATCTCCTCACTGCAAAAAAAAAAAAAAAAATCAGAAATATCATATTACAAAAACATCCAATTTTGTTATGTTATTTTCAAGCAAAATTAGAACTTCAAATATCAGTAATAAAAATTTTTTAACCTGAACCTAGTGCGACAAATAATTTATTAAAAATGCTTTTTATAAATAAATGCAACTAATCAATTGCATTAATAAGAATTTAATAGCGAATTACAAAACTCATAAAACTTAACACTCAAACCCCCAAGGAAAAAACAATCATTCATTAGAATTTATCCTATAGCGTTGATATAATCACTTATAATTTCCCCTTAACGAAATAATTTAATAAATATTTGGATAAAAATAGTGCCAGGCATTACTTTAAAATAGTTTTAATAAACTTATTTAAAAAAAAAAAAGCTAAAATGTTAAAAATAAATTATTAAAAAGCATAAGTATAAAAATTAAATATTTACCACAGTAAATAATTGCTTCTTAAATAATTATTTGCTTTGAATTTTTTTTGTACAATATGCTTATAATATAATATCATAATAATAAAAATATTACTGAAATAATAAAAATAAAAATCCGGTAAACAGTTTAAATTTTTTCTATGAATATCAAAAGTTCTCCAAATAAATACAAAATTTGAAAAATGTACATCGAATTAAACACTTACTCTGGGAAGTTGCCCTCAACTCTGCAGACGTATTCCTTCTGGACCTGCCTGTTGCGGATCTGCTGCTCCATCTGCCTGGCCTTGCGCGGCGACCTGCCGAAGAGCAGCAGACCGCTGGTCAGTCTGTCTAGCCGGTGGATGGTGCGCAAGTTGCGCAAATTGTACTCCTTGGCCAGGATGAAGACCACAGTGTTGTGGCGGTAGCGACCGCACGGGTGCACCTGCGAGAGCGCAAAATAATCAGCTCGACCAAAAATAAGAAGTGAAAATAAAAAGGACGATGCTGGCGAGAGTCGCCGGACGCGTTTTTGCTTGCATCTCTTGTTGCCACCGCACGTCATCCATCACACAGGACTGCCCACTTAATGGACCGAGAGAGATAATCCGCAGCTTTTTGCGACTCCATCAATCTGCACTTTTGTTTGAGTCCGCGCGCTTTTTCTATTCGTCCGCCCGAGATGAAAAATTGACTTTGTGATTTTGGTCGCGAAAGAAAAAAAAACACTGATCTGTTCGCTTTCTCTTCATTTGTACTCGCGAGTCTGGGAATTGAAATGTGCGTCAGAGCGAAACACAAAATAATGGGTTGCCAATTTGCTGGAAAATTGGCAACGCGGACATCAAAAAATGTTTGCCATAACAGAAATAAAGTCTGGGAAAATAATCACGATAAAAATGAATTGGCCGATGAAGCAAATTATTTAGAAAAAAATCAAAATAATTACAAAAATTTTATCAATTAATTTTTAGGCAGAGTGAAAATACATTATTTTACAATGCAAGTGAAACATGGAATTAATCGGAATAAATGGTAGTTAATTTTTTTTAAATGATTACTAAAAAATTTAAATTTCTATTGTTCCTATAGATGCAATAAAAAAGGGAAAAATGTAAAACTTTCAAAGACCGAATTCCCATAATAACATTGATTATAACGATAAGATTTTTTAATTTTTTTTTCTTTTGTTAACAAAACTTGCACAACGTTGCAAAAATCTCTTTAAACAACACAAATTGAAATCCGTCATTATTATTTGCATCGATATATGGGTTGAGATGAAGTTGGAATAATCTTCAGAGAGTCTTTTCCGCGAGCAAAAACAAACAAATTACAATCCCCGTTGAGAGACGCGAGCTGTGATTTAGCGTTGCAGCAAGTCCACGTAAAAAATTATTTTCGCAAACATTCCCTCTTCCTGCTGATAAAAGGCCATTTTTCATTGTAAAAATCTGCAAACATTAATCACGCGGCCGAGATTAAAAGTCTAAAAGAAGGGCGGCCGTTGCATGGCACGCGAAGGAAGAGAGATTATTTGCGTGGCGCGCCAATTGTTGCTTTTGCAATGCGACGGAAGGGAATTACTCTCTTGATGGAGCCGCGTGCTTGGAATGAAATAAACAAATCCGGCGCGCCTTTTTAATATTCGTCGGCGTCGCACACGTACTAGACAAGAGTCTACTATTCTCCCAAGGCAATAAAAATGCAACGGAGAAGTGCTGAATAATGATGACGACGGAATTGTAATTTTTTTACTGACTCTAAAAATATCCGGAAGGAATGAAAAAAATATAGTTTTGTGCAAATAACAACGCTTGAGACCGAATCAATCAACTTTTGCCAAAAGTCGGTTTCGTCATCTCTATTTTTTCCCCACTGTTGTGTTTTTCGGCCAGACTGAAATTATATTCGAGGCACGCGTCATCCGACTGCTGAGACGCGATATGCCCCATATTACGGTGGGGCCTCCTTATTTTTCGGCCTTGGAAGATTGGAATTTCTTTCTGAGAAAGGAAAATAAAATAAAGCATCGTCGGCGGGAAAGTTTTAGGAGAGAAAGTTTTGAGAAAGATTGTTGCTTGGAAAGAGCTCGCCCATAAAACTATGAAGACGAAAGAAAGCGGCGTGTCTCAAAAGAGAGGGCGAAGTGGCGGTGATTCACGTTGATGGTGCTTTTATGCGTAGGCGAAGGTATCTCTGGAGATTGTAAAGTGCAAAAATAAATAAAATAGTAGGAAAATAATGATTTTATGCTAAGCTCTTTTGTCTGCGTTGAAAATTCAGTGATGATTAAAATAATAATATTAACAAGCCTTTTAGTTTTTTTTAATAAATAGCCACGATTTTTAAATTTTACACTTTATAAATTATATTCAGATTTGACCATTTATTGTTGAATAATTTCAATCTTGCAATTGATTTGATTTTCCTGCTGGCCTCATTTGAAGGAGGCCCCGGTCTAGAAAGTAAAAGGTCGTCAGCGCTGGCATTCGGACGGAGCGTGTGTGCGTCTCGAGGGGTGTTTTGTGCGCCGCCGGCACGTAGCACATTGCACTGGAGGCGCCCCCACGACCCTCTATTAGGCCCTGTTGCTGCAAATAAACCCTGGCCACGCTGATGAGGTCGTTACACTCGAGTGACGTGCCCAAAACCAATTACAGGTGATCATTTTTTGATGCCGGACGACGGAAAGCAATTTCGGCCGAGGGGACGTCATGTTTGTGACTTGGCAAATTGAAAAGAAACACACGTCGCGAGAGGGAGCGAAAGGGTTGCCTCCGAGCTTTAGGAGTGTCAATCGGCTATGGAAAGGTTTGTAAATACTTTTGTAATTCATAATTTTAAATAAAGCATATATTTTAATAAACTTTCATTTCCGACTTTCAGGATTTTATACCATGAATTTTGGTATTGGATGAAATTTTTTATGAATGAAAAAAATCAGAAGCAAACTGCTTCTCAAGCATTTCCAATCTTTTTGGAAATAAGTTTCTCTCTGTCCTTGGATGATTTTTTGCAAGGATTTTGAGTGCGGTGGCGATTTGAATTAAAAAAATGAGATGCGAACGAAAACAGCGTCAGACGTCGTCGCTGCGTTGAACTGCTGAAAAGTGAGACATCACGTCTGGGTCGTTAGACAATTAAAATTAAGTACACAGATGAAGCCTCTCATTCCATATGGTGCTCTTTCTGCTGATTGTGTGGAGGGTGGTCGGGGACGGGAAGAGCGTGGCGCCGTTGAGCGAACAGGAAAATTCTGTTTTATGTGTTTGCGACAAAAAGGTTCAATGAACATTAAAATGGAATTAGCCGACGACATTACGCGTATTTAATGACGGCTGGAAAAAAAATGGACCGCAAAAGAAAGAGGTTTTCGATATAAAATGCTGACGATGACACGAGAGAGACGGAAGCAAAGTCAACATTAAATATAAAAAGAGTCCCCTGCTTTCTTTTTGTAATATCGAGTCCAAAAGAATACATATTTTCAAGAAATTTTTCTGTTCCTCGGCGACTGCTAAATTCGGCAAAGGATCAAACGACAAACGACTTACCGGCAGCGAACAGGGTTTGTCCAGGGCAACTAATTCCTCATCAACGTGAACTAGTTGGATTCGTTTTGCTAATATTGGCGTTTCATGTCTGCAAAAGTGACACCAAACACTCTACATAGACAAAGGGGTACACAACGAAAAAAAAGTAGTGCTAATAAAACTCCGACTTGGGAATCAAAACAAAAAAAAATCTAATAAAATGCAAAAGTAACAAAGTGCTGCCGTAAAATACATATATACGAAGAAAATCAAAACTTGAGAGGCATAACTGAATGTATATATGTTGTAACTTCTTCTTTTGTGTGCGAGAGGAAACTTTTGCTTGCATGCAATTCGTATTTGTGCGACTTTTGTCTTTCCTTCCAGGTGGAAGAGCAATTTTTTCCAAGCTCTGGCACCAGACGTGTGTGTAAATCAAAATGAATTTACGACCCTCTGTAAGATTGTCATTTTATTTGCCTTTGTGTAGCGGCACGGTTGATGTAAAAGTCTGTTCTATAAAAAGAAATATAGGACGCAGTAAATCTTCAATAAGCTGACTTCATACTGGTCAGAGAAACCTTAAGTAAGACTTAATTGCCGATTGATTTCTTATATTTTTAACGACTGGTAATTTTGATTGTTAACGTTGGAAAATGGAAAGATTATAACGAATTAATTAGCGGTTCTATTATTTCTGCCAACCCATATTGTTAATTAAATGAAATCGGAAAGTAATCTCCGCGTAGTGGTTAAGGATAATACGTTTTAATCGTCGGCGACAACAAGCGAGGGAAACACCCATTTGCTCACCGACCAACAACAAGCAAGCCGGAGCAGTAATTAAAAAATAATTAAAACGCTCCCCCTCACGCTGGCTCGTCTTATAAATACATTTTTCCTCTCAGCGACAAGCATCCCCGTTTATAAGACGTTCCAGCATTTTAATAACCGGCTCTATTTTACGACATCATAATAATTAAATTCGGCGACAAAAGCCATGGGGGAGTCTCGAGAGCAGAGCGTTTTCCCTTCTCAGACTCAAATTTATTTTTATTTTATCGCTCGCGGCGCTCTGGAACTTTTAATGCGCACGTCGTGTAGACGCGAACGAATTTCGCACAGCCAAAAGCTGTTCAGATGAGCTAAAAAAAAAGAGTCGAGCTCCGACGCAAATAAGTGCACCGCACGATAATGCTGTCGGCTTTGATGTGAACAACCTGCTTGTTAAATTCAATATACGGTCTCAGTGCCAAATCTCACAGTTATATTTAAAAGATTCTGTGATTTTGCACAATTTTGCTGGTTGATGTGCATTTATAATGTGAAAAGTCTTTAAAAAAAAACGGGGAATTTGCAATGCCAAATATAAAGAATTGTTCCGTTTAAATTTAAGAGACCAAAGAGTACAATATTTATAATCTATTATACTTTTCTATTACAATGACTTCTTTACTCCGAATGTTTACAATAAATTTGAATTTTTGAGATAATATTGAAATCTAATTGAAGTAAATTGGCCATTAGTTATAATATGAAAACCTTATTAAAATTAGAATTAAAAAGTATTCCGTGTGGGCACTCTCCGCTTTTCAACTCCATCTTAATTAAATATTTAAATATATAAAATGTAGAACTTTCAAAAAATTATCTCCCTCGTATCTTACTTTCTAGAAAGGTTTGATAGCTTTTTTAATAAATTATAATATAAATTTATTAAAAGAGCGAACTAGAAAGTTTGAAATTAGTCACGTTAAATGAGAGGGAACGAACAAGAACTGCTCCACACGTGTGCTGCGTTCACAAACAAAAAGATCTCCTATATTCCGTGCAGCCATAAATCCGAACCAGAATTTGTAAGGCAATTAGTGGATTAACGAGCTCCATTAATTTAACAAACCAGAGATTTTCTCATAATTCGCGTTCTCCATTCTGCTGCCGAAACAGTTGCCAGCATTAATCAAACAGGCGCCGCTGCCACACTGGCGTCGCCAAAAGAAAGGCTCAATTAAATCTCAAAAAATGAATAGCCAACAAACTGTTGTGCTTTTGGCCGTCGGACAAAATTTAGTCATGATCATAAATTATATTAAACCGAAAAAGAAGTGTTGAAAAAAAAGTAATCACGGAGCTTCGAAATTCCGTCGGTAAAAGGCTCAGTTACCGTACTGACGTTTTTACTCAGCAAACGACACGAGTATGCGGAGTGGTGAATTATTAAAAATAGGAGTCGAGGAAGAATGAGCGCTGAAAGTCGAGATGATTAAAGGGCGGCAAAAGTCGAGGCGACGAGTTGGCGCGGTGAATTCGTGATCGTAAAATAAAATCCCGAGAATAAGTTGAGCAAGCAAAGACGAGGACGCGGTGCTTTTAATTAAAAATGTTCATTAAAAACGCCAAAGAGACCGCGAGCTGAAATAATAATAATGCGGGCCCGGCCACTCCAACCGTCCGTCGAGCGAGAAAGAGCGATTCATAATTAATACACAAGCAAAGAGTCTTTTATTAGAGGAGACTGAGAAAGATCTGCTCTCTCTGGAGAGGAGAGATATTTGAAAATGAATTACGCAGCAACCGAGTGGCTGCGGAATTTAATTAATTACTCGCTTGATCCACGACGAAGGAGGATTCTTTTCCAGCAATTGCGATTGGATTTACTTGTCTGTCTATACTTCAATTAATTAACTCTGATTCCAAGTAAAAGGTTATAATTCTCCAAAGAGAAAAATAATAGTTTTTATTCAAGAATTTTCCTCACAAGTTTTTGTATTGATAGACAAATTATTTTAAAATATGATTTCCGCTGACATCATAATATTTTATTTCTTGGAAAATTTCTTCACAGAAATAAAATTAAAAAGAAATAACGGAATAAAACAAATAATTTAATCAAGAACTGAAATATTAAATTACTTAAAACTTGTCATTAACTGTGTTGAAATATGAAAAAAAAAAAAATGAGTGAAATTTAGTGAAATAGAAATAACTCTACGTTCTGATTTACTACAAGAACAACTTTCCTAAATATCATAATTATAGAAAATCTTAATTTGTTTTTAAACTGATTGCAAAATTTTGTTATTTACCATACCTTTTGATGTGTAGATGATGTTTTGACGCCAAAAGAGCTAAATCCTAGGAATTGTGTGTAATTTTCTACAAAAGTGGTCAAATTTCAAATGTTTGTTGTGCAGCTCAACAGCTGATTTGGAGGGCAGGGTTTTTTGTGAGAGAAAGAGCACCACGCAAAACGGTAAGAGAGAGGCGGCTGGAGAAAATGAGTGAAGCATTGGCCAAGCAAGAAACGTCGCGTTAAAAAAGTTATACAAAATAAATTAGTAAATGCTTTGGTTAATTAATCGATCGGCTGATAAATCAATTAACATTAATCACGAGACGTCCTTTGCTGGCCCGTGAGTGTCAATGAGAAAGTAGAGAAAGTGGAAATAGAGATTGATTGGAGTGGTCTGTCTTGATTGCCACTTACGGGAATGGACGCGGGCTTGTCAACGACCACGAGCTCGGGGTCCATGTGCACCACGGCGATATGGTGCGCTGTCACGGGGACTTCATGCCTGTAATCAACGGTAGAACCAGGTCCAAACTACTACCAGTCAAAGCGACACGTAACACAAATTATGTAAACACACACAGAGATTTTAATGTATTTTTTTTTGCTCGTACTGTTTTTGTTCAAAGGTGAGTTAATTTGTAGCTTTTATAAGGCGCTTTTTACATCAAAGTTTGCTACTTAATTAAGCAGTGATTAGTTTAAATAGTATCGATTGGTCAGTGATTATGATTGAATTTTGTGAATTAAGATTTTTGTGAATGAGGCGTGCATGCAGCTTATTAAGTTAGTTTTATTTCATCATGTGTTATTTTCATTTAGTGCGAGTTGGAAATTTTGAGGGGCAATATGGGGTTTCCTAATTTTTGTGTTTTTATAGAATAATTTTAGTTTGATTTTCTAACTATAGGGTGAAGTACTTGTTCTTATAATATGACGATTTGTTATATTTCTCCCGCAGAATTCAAGGGATCTGAAATTTTTTTTTAATTATTCATCGTGGAATGAACATTCTTTTAATCTCGAAGAGAAAAAATAAGCATAATTCTGTTGAATCAGTTGATTTTAATTTTTAATCATGAAAACTTTTTTATATTAAACCTTCCGTAACAAAGTTTTCTGCTTCTATTAATATCTTGCAAGAACTAGGGAAGCCACTACTTGACGCTTACGTTAATTGCGCTTCAACTTTTGACCTTTTCCATGCAACGAACGCAACAACTCTGTATGTATGCAACCTGCTTGACCGCTATGCATTGCGGTTGCATAACCACTCTCTAGTGCTATTGTGAATGAGTTGGCTTTCATAGACGGGGTGAGCGTGTGATGCCGGAACAGGATTTAAAAGAAACTGCGTAGTGAAGCGAGAATTACGTTAAGTGTGAGATTCTTAGCGCTTTCTTTCAAAAGAAAAAATTGTATTTTGCATAGTTTTATTTTTATTTTTGGTACTTACTTCTTTAATTTTTTAATTCTGCCTTTCAATTTTATCCAATAGTGTTGGTTCTGAATATTCAATTCGGAGAAAAGTACGACAGAAAAAATTGCTTGTAAATGAAAAAATGCTTTTCTTTTTTGTGTCTAAAATAAATTATTAACGTCAAACTTATATTGTACGCAAAATTTAAGTTATTTCTGGTTTGAAATAGTTCATGTTGCAAATTTATTAGACTACCAGAATAGATGCACTAAAGTCTGTCGAGTAAATTTGTTTACTGCGTCAACCATGTGCGTATTGTTGTAATAAGCACTTCTGCAGGCAAACACGAGTAAAATGGCCCAAACACAAACACCACTCGCTGGGGCAAAATACACTTTGGCGCCTTTATTGCCGCGTATTCCGCTGCTCAGGCATTGTTTATGATTTACTCGGCGGCTGGAGCTGCTCGGAATCGGGCGACGGCAATTATTATTACCTCCGTAATGCGTGTGCGAGCGTAATTTAGAGTGTTTCCACGAAAGCTGCAGTGCATCTCGAAAAAGCAGCGGCATTAAATTAAGCCCAGCGCGCGTTTTCGCCGATGTGCAAACTCATAATGAGCAGATTATAGTGAATTATATTTAATCCTCTTCGCTGGGGTATTAAACAAAATTAAAATCGCGAGCGCGAACACCCCTTTTGAGAGTTCTGCCGCTCCACTGCGGTTGGTGCATTGCTTCAAAAGTAATCTTCCAACGGAGATTTATTAGGATAAAAAGGCTGCGGATTTGCTTCAATGCAGTTCCATGCCACAAAAAACTTTAAATTAATTTAAAAGAATACAATTGATTATTCATAACCAATTTTGATAAAATTTTTATATGTATTTCCTGTTAATTTAACATCTTCATTCATTTACAGAGAGCTTTCTCATAAAGTTTCTTGAATCAATCTTCTTTCAAGTAGATTTTTATATTTAATACATTTTTTAATTTTGAAAAATTGTAAAATGTATGTCAATTTGAGTAGAGATAGCGTTGTGTACACTTAAAAGCTTAATTAGCACTTAATATTAAATGAATTTTCTAAGTTAATTATGTAAATATGTAGAAATATTTTAATGGAGGGTTCCTGAAAACACTCGTAGCAGCTCAACGTGGGAAATCACGTTATGAAATAATAAAGCACCACTTAAGTTTAAATGAATAATAAGTCAGAGCCATTTGAATATAATTGATCTAAAATCTCATCACCATAAAAATTAAATTTATCCATATAAAATTCAAGTCAAATGTGAGATTTGAATAAATAATATTTAATTTTTAACACCAAATATTAATTGAGCCGAAACTCGGAGGTTGCTTTCATCTGATGTTGTGCTTTACACTTAAGAGAACACTCCAAAGTGGCTGAACTCAATTAAATCACTCTCAGTCTGGACGGTCTGATGCTAATGAGGCAAATTAATCCGCCGACAGAGGCCGTCACTCAAACGGAGCGAAAAAGCGCGTCCGCCGACGGCATCCACCTGCTGGCGAGAACGAACTCTGCTCACATTTATTCGCAAATCGAATCAGACTGGTCCGTGAGAGAGAGAGAGTAATTGATACAATAATGCACACACACGGTGCAAATAGCGGCACTTCCATATCTTTTGCGCCATGCTGAATAATTCATCAGGCGGCACGGAATGGAAAACGGACGGCCGGCGGCGCATTATTACTGTTATTACGTTTATTATTGGCGCTGCAGGGCGGCATAATTGTGGCCATTTTGATTTGATTATCGGCTAATGCCTGCTAACTCAATATATATTGCATGATGTGTGCGCCCATGGAGCTTCTTCCCTTTTACGGCCGCAGGAGCTACGGACAGAGAGGCGCAAAAAGCAAAAAGCTCTTTCCCGGAATCCACTTTGTGGTCCGTACTGGACTTTCGGCAGGTGGGCAATTTTCCTCTCGGGGTTTTCAGAAACGCTTATTGAGCCAGATTTCTGGGAAGTCCATCACAACTTGGCAGGGTCAATTCAGGTTTTTAATGGGGGAAAAAAAAATATTCAACACTGCGTTGGAAACCATAAATTGATGAAAGGAGAAGCTTATGACATAGTCAAATCAGGGCATTGTTTTATTGTTGCCGAAATCTTAATTAATGCAGACAGTGCAATTTTAAGTTAAATTAATTGAGCAATTTCATAGCAGCGAATTCTGAATTTTAAGATAAATTTATAAATATTTATTTAAGAAGGTCAATATTTAGTGTTATTTTATAAAAAATTTAATTTTTTTATATTTAAAATCAAGTTTCAAATAATTTACTCACTATAACAATATTGCATTTTTAACAATTTTTGTTCAATTTTAAATTTTATTTAATAAAATTACAATTAACACTTAACTTTTAAATTTAGAAAAGTGTCTGTGTCTTTTTACTTTTCGCGAGAATTTTGTTTATAAATAGTCGATATCAAATTAAAATTTATCAACTCTCTCCCATTCTATTATGACCAGTCAATGAATTAAATTATTTTAAATTTGCAGACCGTAACGTTCTTACTTCTTATCATTTAAAGTAACAATAAGCTATTTAATTTAAAATTACATGAATGTAGACCTAATATCAAAGACTAACTTTGTTATTTTTGCATTAAACATCATTTATAATTTCAATTGTTTCCCATTTTAATAATTATAACAAATTTGTGTCTATTTTTGTATAATTACATCATGAAGTCACTCCCTTAAAAAGAATGCGTAGTCGCAGCGAATGTCCCTACTTAACTCGGCAAAAAGCCCTTTTTCAGTCGGCTGTAGATTAATTGGAGCGCGCGTGCCCCGTCCGTCGTTTGGCGCGTGGCCTAACTCGATTTTGACACGGAGCAAAATGAAATGTCCGGCAGCGCCGTAATTTGCAATAGAACCAGGCTACTGGAGGCAGAGCAGAGGCTGCGGGAAACTAATATCGCCGGTCATTTTAACGTGCAGAACGACCGGCCTAATTGAAAGATGAAAGTTTGGCCGGGCGGAAACTCGCACGTCCGCAGATTGCATTCCTGCACCTTTGGGTCGTTTCACGCCGGATTAGCTCAACAATACGGCGGATGCTTAAATGCGTGTGGCTTTCGTCGAATCGAAGGGCTTTATTAATTTCAAAACTTTAAGGACCAACTGGCGGACAATTTCCTCTGCATTACATTCAGCAGTAAATTTAGAGATTTTAACATTTTTTACTTGCATTTACTAAAGATTATGTTTTTAGATTTATAATTTGACAAGTTTATATTTATGAAAATAAATTGATAAATTATTTCTAAATATCTGTAGATGGATCCACCAGATGTTAAAAAATTAACTAATATTTTTATAACTCATTTCTATTAAAATTTAGTTATCTGTTTTCATTTTTTAAATAAGCAGAATAATGAAAGAAAAAAAAAGTATTTTTAAGCAACTATTCTGATTTATACAAAATTTATATGTAGTTTCATTTTCTAGTTTGTATATTTTTTCTCTGCTGAGGAACATAAATTCATCGTTGCCAGCTTGTGGTGTAGCCGGACCAAGCAAACAAAAGCGGCGAGCCATGTGGTGACGACAAAGCCGGCCGAAAAATTCGCCGCTCGCAAAGTGGCCTTGTGTGCACTGCTGAATGTGGCGACGGCGGTGGTCGCTTTTCTTGTTGGCTAAAAATTAACGACACTCGCCGGAGCCGTTGTGTTGGCGGTAAAAATGCAGATTCTCCGCTTTGTGATTGCGCTCTTTAATTTGGCCCCTCGGACGCTGCAAAAGCGGCGCGTGTCATTAAAAGTTTTCACCGAGGCAGTTTTTGCGAGCGACGAGCGCCTCTCGTTGCACGCTTATTACTCCACAATGAACCCTTAATTAGTGCGCGAATTGCGGACAACGCGAGCAACCCAGGCCGGCTCGTGCGGCCTTTTTGTTAATTGCGGAGGTCACCTTGTCGGCAAAAGTAAAGAGAAAGCCGCACCTGGCACAGATTTAAATTCTTAAACAGCCCGACTAAAAATAGAAGAGATTTCAAACTAACAATGTTAAACAAAACAAGCACTTTTCTTTTTGTACTAA